CTGCTGTGATCATCCAACTTCACACCTTGTTATCTCATATATCTAGCAGTTGTTAAGACATTTCAGTGATGTGGTGTTAGAATTCATCCTTGTTTCATTTAATTTCTCTTGTACATAGAAGCGTGATTTCTCGAAGAGGGTAAACACTGCGAAGAAGATGGCTGAAGAAGCTCAGAAAGTGAAAATACAGGTGTCTCAGAGGCCTTTATTGATTGTTAGCATTAAAGCTGGCAAAACTGCCTTCCTTTGCTCTTTTCGAGATACTTAAAGAAGTCTTCAGACTTAAATTTCACCTCATAAATGAGGAAGAATGGAAGGACTTAACCAAATTAGAGAGTGAGCCTTAAGGCAAAGCAAAATACTGTGCAAAATAAAAATAGAAAGTGCTGGAGAATCTCAGCAGGTCTAGCAGCATCTGCAGAGAAAGGAACAGAGTTAACGTTTCCAGTGGAATATGACTCCTCTTTGGAATATCTTCCGTACCTACCAAGTTTGTGTCTCCTACAAATGTGGGCAGATGTGGTTCAGGCCTCTCTTCTCCCTAAGCAGGCCCAAGGTAGCATTGGAAGAATGCAATGGCCAACTAGCCTGGTTAGAAAGCCTACCTGCATTCTCTGGGAAATTGGCCCAGCTCTCCACCTTGTGCCTATGCTGCCTCAGCCTCAGCCCCCTCATCTACCTTCTCTGCCCTTTCATACTCCCATTGTCCCATGATAACACCACGCACGCCCCATCAGGTCAGAACCCTGTGATCAATCCCTGCAGTAAAAGCACATCCAACTTAAAAGTGAGCATCTAATAACAATTTCTGAATTGTCAAACTGTTTGACACTGGACCGAACGTTCCCACCTGCTCACTTCTCTCCAGGTTCCTGAATCCCAGGGAGGCAATGGCCAGGGGGTGGTATAACGTTAGACTATTAATCCAGAAACTCAGCTAATATTCCAAAGACCCAGGTTCAAATCCCGCCAGTTAAATTCAGTAAAGAATCTGAATCTAATGATGACCGTGAAACCATTGTCAGTTATTAGGAAAAACCCATCTGGTTCACTAATGCCCTTTAGCAAAGGAAATCTGCCAGCCTTACCTGGTCTAGCCTATATGTGACTCCAGACCCTCGACAAGGTGGTTGACTCTTAACTGCCCTCTGGGGTAATTAGGGATGGCCAATGAATGCTGGCCCATCCAGAAACACTCATGAGTGAATAAAACAACCCCTAACCTGACAAGTTTTGTAAAAGCTTCTCCAATCTGACCAAAATACGATGGAACATGAAATACAAACGTCCTCTAGACTTGGTAATGGTCATCTTGATGTGATGGGCTTTGCATATGTGGGATTGCAACATGAGTTTAACCCACCCCATGGCAAGTTTACACGAGCTCTTTCTGGAAGAGATCCTGCTTCACAACCTCAGATTGTTTTCGGATGCAAAACTTTGGACCAGTGTTTGATTTTGAGAACACATCCCTGGTAATGAAGATATGGTGTTGCTTATGATGGAAGTGACGTGCAGTGTGGTACAGTTTTGTGTAACTTTGTTCACGGAGTACATCTGGGGCTGTATGTGTGTGTGTGTGTGTGGTGTTCATTTGAAACTGTGTGTATATGTATGTGCGTATCACGAATGCACTAAAGCACTCTTTCGCTTTTCTGAAATATTTTATTTGCAGGACCGAATATCCCAGTTTGGCTTTCTTGTCAGATATAAGGGAATTGAAGATGCCAAACTTTCCGAAGATAGTCCCAGTCAGGAATCGCTGGGTAACTAATTTCTCTGTGATATTGGACTGGTTCGTAATTTCTCCAATCCATTAGAACAACTTGAAGGTGCTATTTTCTTTGATGAATGAGTTCTTTACAAAATCAATTCCATTTGATAATGCACCGTTTTGATGTGAATTGCAGCTACATTCACATAGGCCCTCAGTGTTATTGACAGCAGGGAGAAATTCAAAATATAACAGAGACCATGGGGCAGAATTTTGTAGGCACCCTAGTCTGGGGTGCAGTGACGGAGGTGAACCCAATACCAGAAATGTAGAGACAGAAAATAGGAGCAGGAATAGGCCATTTAGTTACTCAAGGGGAGGCAATGGCCTAGCGGTATTATCGCTAGACTATTAATCCAGAGACCCAGCTGATGTTCTGGGGACCTGGGTTCAAATCCTGCCACAGCACATGGCGGAATTTGAATTCAATAAAAATATCTGGAATTAAGAATCTAATGATGACCATGAATCCATTGTCAATTGTCGGAAAAGCCCATCTGGTTCACTAATGTCCTTTAGGGAAGGCAACTACCATCCTTACCTGGTCTCACCTACATGTGACTCCAGACCCACAGCAATGTGGTTGACTCTCAACTGCCCTCTGGGCAATTAGGGATAGGCAATAAATGCTGGCCTGGCCAGCGACGCCCTCATCGCGTGAATGAATAAAGGAAAAAAAAAGCCTGCTGTGCCATTCTTGGCTGATCATCTAACTCAATAATAGCCTATTCGCATTTCCTCCCCTTATCCTGTGATCCATTTAGCTCCAAGTGCTGTGTCTAACTCCTTTAATGATTTTGCCTCAACTGCTTTCTGTGATTGCAAATTCCACAGGCTCAACATTCTCTGAGTGAATAAATTTCCTCTTAATGTCAGTCCTAATTGATTTATCCCTGCTTCTGAACTCTTCCCATCATCGGGATCATCATTACTGCATCTACCCTGTTGGAAACAGACCCTTTGGACCAACTCGTCCATGTCGATCAAGTTTCCTGCTAGAATTTTATGAGTCGTTGAAATTTGTCCTCATTCTTCTCAGCCGAAGCCCAGCTGGAGATTGGTCCTCAGTCCTTTTCTAGATGGTACTGCTGTGATTCATGTGTCTGTTGTAAGTGTATAGTGCAATGATATACTGTACAGTAAACTTTGAAATTATTGCTTTTGTTCCACAGAGGATCCCTGCATTGTTGAGGATGCAAAAAGACCAAAATCCAGGAACAAGGAAGAGTCTTGGAGTAAGGTGGGTCTCAGTAAAGTGTTCAGCCCAAGGAATCCCCAAGTTATTTTATCTAAGGCAATTATAAGAGCCTTGTGCATGTTTGGGCTATAACGCTTTGGAATAGATTTGTTTGGGCTAGGGGGAAGAAAAGATTTAGAATTTTAATTATTCATCACACTGCAATGATCTCTGCTAGAAAGTGCATATCAGGTGTGATTGCAAGAGTCCACAAGCTGTGGATACAACAACTGATTTCATTTATGTAGCACCTCTAGCCTCGGAAAATGTCCTTCACAACAGCAGCGTCAGTCACACCTTGATGACAGGCCACAAAAAACAGACATCAAGGCAGACAACCAAGTGCTTGCCCAAAGGTGCAGATTTTAAGGGAGTATCTTAAAAGGAGGAAAGAGAGATATGCAGAGGCAGAGAGGTTTAGGGAGGGGAATTCCAGAGCTTAGGATGTGAAGCAAAGGAAATAAGGAACTCCATGACAATAGAGTTAGAGTAGTTGTGGAAATCTTGGAGAGTTGCAGGGCTGGAGAAAACCACAGAAATGGAGAGGAGGCACGGGCAATGGGGAATTTGAACTGAAAGATGGAGACTTCAAGTATCAAGGCATTGCCAGACCAGGAATCAGGACAAAAACAAAGTTGCTGGAAAAGCTCAGCAGGTCTGGCAGCATCTGTGAAGAAAAAATCAAAGTTAACGTTTTGGGTCCGGTTACCCTTCGTCATAACAGGAATCAGGACAGGTCAGCAAGCACAGTGGAGATAAATGAACAGGGATGTGATGCATAGGACAGAAGATTTTTGGATGATATTTACAGAGGATGGTAGGTGGGAAGCTAAGTCAGGAGTCCAATGGAATGGTTCATCCTGGAGACAAAGGAGAGCAATACCAGTTAATGTCCACACTTGAAAACAGAACAGACAGCTATTTAGGTGTCGGCTAGTGACAACCCTCAAGCTGTACCCCTACAAGAGTCAGCCATTTCAAGACGGAGCGGGAAGGGCATTACGTTCTACCTACACCACATGGACTGCAGAAGTTCGAGAATCCAGATCACCAACAACTTCTCAAGATCAACTCGAGACAAGCAATAAATGCTGGCTCAGCCAGTGTTGCCCATATCCCATGACTGAGTCAAAGAAATGATTTTAAGGCTTTTCCATTCATGCGTGAACACATACGAAAGAAACACAAAGGGTGTGCAAACCAATTGAATGGAGGCAGTGGGGGTTAACTCCAGGACTATTCTTTGATGGAGCATCATCTTTATTACAATTCTTGTTGTTTCAATAATTCTGGCATTAGACATATAGTGATGACCAGAAGCAACTAGGGTGGTGTTGTGGGGTGGGGTAAAGTCTTATTTCATGGAGAGGTCGGATGGATTGAAGATTAAATAATGTTGGATACCTGGAAATAAGCAACATACTGTAATTTAACAAAAATAGCAATTGCTGGAAAAGCTCAGCAGGTCTGGCTGTATCTGTGGAGAGGAATCAGAGTTAACTGCATTCTGAAGAAGGGTCACTGGATCTGAAATATTAACTCTGATTTTTCTCCACAGGTGTTGCCAGACCTGCTGAGCTTTTCCAGCAATTTCTGTTTTTATTTTTGATTTCCAGCATCTGCAGTTCTTTTGGTTTTTAAACTGTAATTTAATGAAGGAGTTAGGATAGATTACATACAAAATAGTTGATTCTGGTGGCTTATGTAGAGTGTAATTAATACCCAGTAATCAGTTGCAATTTGCAATCTAGTCAAAGGTTTAGGCCTGTGAAATGCATAATGATTCTTTTAATAAATCACTGATATTTTAAATTTCATGTCCTTTTAAGGGAGGAGGCTCCTATTGTTTACACTAATATAAATGTGAGTAGGGGCTTTTAATCCACGTAGGCTAAGGGATTGGAATGGCAGTTAAGATAGAAAGATAGATTTTTGAACAGCAAAGGAATTAACGGTTGTGGTGAGTGATCGGGTGAGTGGAGCTGAGTCCACGATAAGATCAGCCATGATCTTATTGAATGGCAGAGCAGGCTCAGTGGGCCAGGTGGCTTACTTCTGATGCTATTTCTTATGCTCTTATGTTGTAAGACCCAAGTGGCACAAATACCACATAGTGGCATAGATTATAAGAGCAGGGAGGTTACATTGGAGCTGTGCAGAACTCTGGTTAGGTTACAGCCAGAGTACTGCGTGCAGTTCTGGCCGCCACACTATTGGAAGGAGTTGATTGCACTGGAGGGGATGGAGAGGAGATTCACCAGGATGTTGCCTGGGCTGGAGTAGTTTAGCTCGGGTTCTTTTCTTTAGAGCCGAGATGGCTGAGAGGGGACCGGATTGAGGTGTATACGATCATGAGGGGCATGGACAGGGTGGATAGGAAGCAGCAGTTCTCCTTAGTTGTAAGTTCAATAACAAGGGGGCATAATTTTAAAGTGAAAGGCAGGAAGTTTAGACAGGATTTGAGGAAAGAAATTTCACCCAAAGCGTGGTGGGAATGTGGAATGTACTGCCTTGAAGGGTAGTTGAGGCAGAAAACCTTGTAACCTTTAAAAACTACCAAGATGTAGTGTTTGTAACGAGGTCAGCCAAGAGGACCTCATAGAATGTAATTCCCTGATTGGGGCTGTTAATCTGGTCCAATCAGGGAGCCCTGACTGACAGATATAAACAAGAGTGTCAGAAAGGGTCTGTTCACTTTGAGACCTGGCTCTGAGGAAACCAGACCAGTGTCAAGTACTCTGTAAATAAAGGTTGTCTTGGTGACTGGATACCAGCCTCTGTGGAGTTATTACAGGATGTGCACTTGAAATGTCGTAACATTCAAGGCTATGGGCCAAGTGCAGGAAAGTGGGATTGGTGTAGCTTCAGAGTAGTTTTTTGTTAGAGCAGCTTTGCTGGGCTGAAGTGCCTCTTCTCTACTGTATGATTCCATGATATGGCTCACTTCTTGCACCATGGCTACCTACACTGTGCTGTTCGGGGCAGTTGAGACTTACCTTGAAGCCTCATAAATCTATGTGAATCCGAGATCACCTTTACAGAGGGAAATTTTTTGCAGCCTGCTTCTCCAGGCTCCGGCAAAAACCATTTGGGACACAGGCTGTTTACTCCTTGTTCATTCCCAATGACAAATCCCTATGCCCCACCTCCGAAACTTCTTGCGCTCTCACACAGCTCACCTGATTGGAGAATTCCAGACTTGGTTCTGGAGCTCCATGTCAGGTAAGCGACAAGCTGGTAGGATGCTATAGAGGTCCATCCATTAATGGACAGCCCACCAATCCGGTCACCCTCCCATCTAGGGAGTTGTACCGTGCCCTTCAATTGTCAGCATGGACACTGTTTGCCATGCTCCTGCACGCATTTGATGCACAATAATACTACAAGTTTATTTAAAAAATACCTAATATTTATACAGCACCGTCTCCCATTGTTAAAATGCCTCAAAGACGTTCAGACAATGAAGTACTTTTGGATTGGATTGTTCTGTCCCCCTCAATGAGCTAATAGGTCTGGTGCAATACTGAGCTCTTTACTATTTTAATATGCCAGGTTTAATCCCTGTCTCTGCTGAGCTAAACAGTCTGTCAGGGCAGTTCCTCTTTACATCAGTGCCTCTGGGCTGGGAGTGCAGCTGTAGAATTTGGTGGCGTTTCCACTCTCGATTTCTGTATAGCAACCTCTGCTGAAAGCAGGAGTCAGGGCAGGATCAGGCTGTCCAATTCAGCAACACAAAACAACCAATTTTTCAGGTTACAGAAATTGCTGGAGAAACTTAGCAGGTCCGGCAGCATCTGTGAAGGGAGAAACAGAGTTAACGTTTTGTGTCCAGCGACCCTTCTTCAGAACTGGCCTCTGGACTCGAAATTTAACTCTGCTGTCTCTCTCTCCACAGACGCTGCCAGACCTGCTGAGTTTCTCCAGCAATTTCTGTTCTTGTTTCAGATCTTCAGCATCCTCAGTTCGTTGTTTTATTTTACACTTTCCAAAGTCCAAACTCTTTACTCAGTCCAAAGATGTGCGGGTTAGGGTGCATTGGCCATGCTAAATTGCCTGTAGTATCCAAGGATGTGCAGGCTAGGTGGATTAACCATGGGAAATGCAGGGTTACAAATAGGTTAGGGGTTGGGTCTGGGTGGGCTACTCTTTGGAGGGGTCGGTGTAGACTTGAAGGGCTGAATGGTATGCTTCCACACTGGAGGGAATCTATGATTCTTTCAGTTCATATGCATTTGCATGAGGTATTTGAGACAGCCCAGTGCCTGTGGAATTGTACCCCAGCCAAGGTCAGCTAATTAAAAACTGTCTGGGAAGAAAGATGCAAATAACCTGCCACCAGCATCAAAGTTTGTATTTGCACGTGATAAAATTAATTTCTGCTACTTCTCAAGCTCCCTGACTAAAGGCAACTCCTCAGCGATTATAAACTGAACGACAGCAAAGTGCCATGATTTATTTTCCAAGTGGACAAATAAAGCTGAGAGTCCGATGCAGTGGGAAGAATGATGATCTGGAATTCTAAATGGTGAACGTTAAGCAAAATCTACTCAACTCAGCTCTGCTCAAACAGTTTAGAATTTTGGGATAGTAATCCTCAATCTGCTAGATGAGATCGCAGCTCTTCAAGGGCTTCTGAGCCATTGACTGCTGGATCAGATCCTAGAGGATTACAGAGATGTCTATAGAGGTTTTAGATGTCTTCCTGGTGAGTATCATCTCATCTCAAGGTGGACTCAGATTCCAATGCTGCATCTATTGAGGAGTGTTCTAACTGCCCTCAAATCCAACCTGAAAGACAAGATACAGGAACTGAAAAACTGTGAGTTTGCATAGATCGAAAGGATCTGAATAAACATTTGAAGCGATCTCATTATTTCATTTGATTTTTGATTGGATTTGACTTATTATTGTCACAGGTACCTAGGTGCAGTGAAAAGTTTTATTTTGTGTGCGGTACAGCAGCTCATACCATACCAAGTACATTAGGGTAATAGAACAGAGCGAGGAATACAATGTTACTGCTGCAGAGAAGGTGCACAAAGAGCAAGATCAACATTTAAATTTAAAGTTTGAGAGGTCCATTCAGAAGTCTGATAACAGCGGGGAAGATGATGTTCTTGAATCCTTTGGTACGTGTGTTTAAGCTTTTGTATCTGCTACCTGATGAAAGAGGTTGGAAGAGATTATAACTGAGCTGGGAGTGGTCTTTATTATCCTGTGACAATCATTGAAGATGTTTAGCTGCAACTTGCCAAGGTCTTTACTACCCTTGATTATAGAGGATGGTTTGTGGCAAATGAACCTGGATGAAAGCAGCAGTTTTTGCAGCAGTACCTACATCCTGGATTCTATTCGGGGAAGACAGATGGTTGCACAGATGGTTGTTCAGCATTTCCACTGCTCCAGAATAGTATCAATGTCAATAGCAAAATATAGTTAGCACGGAAACAGACCCTTTGGTCCAACCTGTCCGTGCCGAACATAATCCCAAACTGAGCTGGTCCCACCAGCCTGCTCCTGGCCCAAATCTCTCCAAACCTTTCCTATTTATATATTCATTCAGATATGTCTTAAATATTGTAATTGTACCCATATCCAACTTCATCAGGAAGTTCATTCCACACGTGAACCACCCTCTGTGTAAAAATTTTGCCTCATGTCTTTTTTAAATCTCTCTCCTCTCACCTTAAAAATATGCCCCCTAGTCTTGAAATTCCCCATCTGAGGGAAAAGACAACTACCATCAACTCTATCTATACCTGTCATTATTTTATAAACTTCTATCAGGTCACCTCTCAACCTCCTACACTCCAGTGAAAGAAGTCCCAGCCTATCCAGCAACATCCTGGTGAATCTTTTCTGAACCCTCTCCAGCTTAATAACACCCTTCCTATAACCAAGTGCCAGGAACTGGACGCAGTGCTCCAGAAGAGGCCTCACCAACGTCCTGTACAACCTCAACTTGACATCCCAACTCCTACACTCAAAGGACTGAGCAATGAAGGCAAGCGTGCCAAGCGCCTTTTTAACCATCTGTCTATATGTGATGCAAACTTTATAGAATTATGTACCTGCATCCCTAGGTGCCTCTGTTCCGCAACACTACCCAAGGCCCTACCATTAATTGTATAAGCCCTACCCTTGTTTGTTGCACCAAAATGCAATACCTCGCATTTATCCAGATTAAACACCGTCTGCCATTTTCAGCCCATTGACCCATTTGATCAAGATCCCTTTGTAATCTTAGAAAACCTTCTTCACTGTGTACAATGCCACCAATTTTGGTGTCTTCCGCAAACTTACTAACCATGCCTTCTACATTCTCATCCAAATCATTTATATAAATGGCAAACAAAAGAGGACCCAGAACCGATCCCTGTGGATCACCGCTGGTCACAGGCCTCCAGACCGAAAAGCAACCCTCTACCACTCCTCTCTATCTCCTACCATTAATGAATCTGAATGATCTGCTAGTCAACAGAATGTGGAGACACAGAGGAAAACACCATCACAGAGCACATTCAGAATATAGTGTAACTGCTAAGAGAGATCGCCAGATGAGCCTAAATCTGAACAGAAATAGATACAACTAAAGAGGCCAAGTGGTATTATCGCTGGACTATTAGCCCAGGGATCCAGGTAATGCTGTAAGGACATGGGTTCGAATCCTTCCAGGGCAGATGATGGAATTTGAATTCATTGAGAAAAGAAAATCTGGAATTAAGAGTCTAATGATGATTGTAAAACCATTTTCAACTGTTGAGAAAACCCATCTGGTTCACTAATGCCCTTTAGGGAAGGTAACTGCTATCCTTACCTGGTCTGGCCCACAGCAATGTATTTGATGCTTAACTGCCCTCTGGGCAATTAGGGATGGGCAACAGATGCTGGGCTAGCCAGCGACACACATCTGTGAATGAATTTTTGAAAAAAATGTTTTTTTTTCATGACCACCAACAATGGTTTCATCATCTAGCTTTTCTTTAAATTCTAGCCTTGATTAATTGACCTTTAACTCAACGCGATGGAGGCAATGGCCTAGTGGTATTATCGTTGGACTGTTAACCCAGAGATCCAGATAATGTTCTGGGGATGTGGGTTCAAATCCTGCCACAGCAGATGATGGAATTTGAATTCAATAAAATATCTGGAATTAAGAATCTAATGATGACCATGAATCCATTGTCGATTGTTGGAAAAACCCATCTGGTTCACTAATGCCCTTTAGGGAAGGAAACTGCCATCTTTACCTGGTCTGGCCTACATGTGACTCCAGACCCACAGCAATGTGGTTGACTCTTAACTGCCCTCTGGGGAATTAGGGATGGATGATAAATGCTACCTGGCCAGCGATGCCCTCATCCCGTGAATGAATTAAAAAACACCTGCTGAGGTGGGATTTGAACCGACATCACTGGATTGGTCAAGTGACATTACCACTTTGGCAACACCTCTTCTACCAAGCTGCCATATCATTGTCAGAGCTGAACACTATGGAGCTAGTCAGAGTGCCAACATTCTCTCAATAAAATGTTCAAAACAAAGTTCAGTCCACATGGCAAGTTGGGACCTGTGTTGAATAGTTGCCATCTTTATGATGTGGAGAATGTGAGCTACCAGGTATATTGTCACAACTTCAGACTATGTACAACTAGAGAACTTGTTAGTTCATTACTGATCAGGAAGATGTGATCCCACCATTGGCACAGAGACAGAACAACCATCAGTCTCAAAGGTCCACCATTCCACAGCAAAGGAAATGGATCAGCAATAATAGTTACCGCAGCAACAGCACTCACCATGAGAATGCCACTCCTTGGGTAAGGAAACAATGTCCTTGGAGCAGCAGATACCAGACCAACAGCCAATGACAACACACACACATACCATTAGGAGATCAGAATAAAGATTATATATGCAGAGACTGACAGAAGCAGAACTGTCTAAGGTGCTTTGTCAATGAATGACAATTTTCTTTGTGACCATGTGTACTGAGTAACTTGTTTAACTTGCAAATAATAGTATGTGTAATTTTTTTTATGAATGGGGGACACTTGGAGAAATGTAATTGTAGTTAGTATACAGACAGGCTTACCGTAGTCATGTAACCTGTACCGCTGATATAAATGCTTCTGCACAGAGTCCGGTGGCAGACATTAAACATCCATCACTTGAAAAAAGCATTAACCTGATGCATCCATTAACAAGCTGACCTAACTGCCTCCTACATTTCTACTAAAGAACAGGTGTTCCTTTCAAAGAAACATTTCAGGGATAATGTATGCGTATTCTGCCTTATCTATACATACACCGTTTCAATAGAGAAGATGGCTACTGGTTGGGAACCCGTGGAGCCTGGTCAGATCATGTGGAATCATTTATAGAAAGACTGTAATGTCTATATTTTAAGCTTTATTTTTTATTTTCCTAACTTATACCCTGTATATCTGCAATGTAGTGTAACTTTTTTCTTTATTTTCTCTTTTTTTTATACTTAAGATGACACCGTGTGTTGGTGACATTGTACACTGCACTCCTGTTCTTTTGTAGCTTAAGTACACGTGACAATAAACCTAGTTCTAATTCTAATAGAGATTGCTAATCATCATGATCGGAAATAGGGAATCTTGCCTCATTTTCCCCACACTCTTTCCCCTGCTACCCCAAAGCCATCTAATGCAATATGCAATTCATATCGACTCTGGCATAGTCCCGTTCTGTGCAGCTTTGCTACCCAAGGGATAAGCCAGTAAGTAGATTATCCCGAGTAGCATGTGGGGATTTTTAATTATGGGAACCTGTGGGAATTCATTTGATGATTTCCAATTGTGCTTCGCGTGGCTGTACTCGTTCCTTGAGATATAATTAAGGCTAAATGTAATCAGAAACATGACACATTAATATGTAAGAAATGCATGTCATTTTACGGCTTTAAATTTCAACTTTTGTTTATTTTCAAAATGTGTTTATTTCCAGGACTGTGCAGAGAAGGAGCCTGAAACCCATCAGCTGCGAGCCAGAAAGGGAAAAGAGAAGAATGGTATAATTTATATCGATATATTTACAACATAGTGAAAAACCCAGGTAAAGGGCCAATATGCTTAAGGTGGGACACAACCAAAGTTAGAAAGTTTAGGACAACATCAGATCAGGAAAGGCAGACACACACATACCCTCATGCATGCACACACACACACATGTGCACACACACACACTGTGCACCACATTGAACATCGAGTATAGGCGTTGGGATGTTGTGCTGTGGCTGTACAGGATGTTGGTGAGGCCATTTTTGGAACACTGCCTTCAATTCTGGTCTCCCTGTTATAGGAAAGACGTTATCAAACTGGAAAGGGTTCAGAATAGAATTACAAGGTTGTTGCCGCGACTGGAGGGTTTGAGCTATTCAGTGATGCTGAATAGGCTGGGGCTATTTTCCCTGGAGCATCGGAGACTGGGGGGGTGACCTTATAGAGGTTTATAAAATCATGAGGGGCATAGATAGGGTGAATAGCTAAGGTCTTTTCCTCAGGGTAGGGGAGTCCAAAACTAGACGGTATAGGTTTAAGGTGAGAGGAGAAAGATTTTAAAGGGACCTAAAGGGCAACTTTTTCACACAGAGGGTGGTGCATGTATGAATGAGCTGCCAGAGGAAGTGGTGGAGGCTGGTACAATTACAACATTTAAAAGGCACATGGAAGGGTGCATGGATAGGAAGGGTTTAGAGGGTATGGGCCAAATTCTGGCAAATGGGACTAGATTAATTTAGGATATCCAGTTAGCATGGATGGCTTGGACCAAAAGGTCTGCTTCTGTTCTGTATGACTCAATGAGTGTAGGCAGGGCTGCGGAGGAATGTGACAGGGATTTGGTTGGGTTGGGGGGGGTTCCGTACATACCTTCAAAGCAGTTTAGGAACCCACTATCACCTGGTGGTACTTGACTAAAATAAAACGAAGAGCTGTGGATGCTGGGAACTGAAGCAAAAACAAGAATTGCTGGAGAAACTCAGCAGGTCTGGCAGCATCTGTGGAGAGGGAAACAGAGTTAACGCTTTGCGTCCAATCCTCCATGAAGAAGGATCACTGGACTTGAAATGTTAACTCTGTTTCTGTCTTCACAGATGCTGAATTTCTCCAGTATTTTATGTTTTTGTTGGTGGTACTTCACATTGCTTGTTATCTATATGCAACTGAGCACCAAATCTAAGTTGATCCTCCTGTGTAGTTCTGAGGAGGCACTGCTTTCTTGCGAGTGTACTCCTTGGGTGAAGTATTAATCCAGGACACCACCTGGTCTCTCAGTTGGACATAATACATTCCACTCCATCCCTAATTGCCCTTGAACAGCATGTCTTGCTGAACCATTTCAGAAGGCAGTTATAGAGTCATACAACACGGAAACGCACCCTTTGGTCCAAATCATCTGTGCCGACCAGATATCCCAATCTAACTTAGTCCCATTTGCCAGCATTTGGCTCATGTCCCTCTAAACCCTTTCCTATGCATGTACCCATCCAGATGCCTTTTAAATGCAATTGTACCAGCCTCTACCATTTCTTCTGGCAGCTCATTCCAAATATGCATCACCCTGTGCGTGAAAAAGTTACCCCTTGAATCTATTTTGAACTCCCCCACCCTAGGAAAAAGACCTTGGCTATTCACCCTAACCATGCCCCTCATGATTTCATAAACCTTTATAAGGTCACCCCTCTGCTCTGATGCTCCAGGGATAAAAGCCCCAGCCTATTCAGCCTCTCCCTATGGCTCAAACTCTCCAACCCTGGCAACATCCTTGTAAATCTTTTCTGCTCCCTTTCATATTAACAACATGTTTCTTAGAGAAGGGCAACCAGAATTGTACACAGTATTTCAAAACTGATTTCACCAATGTCCTGTACAGCCACAACATGAAAACATTAAAGAGTCAATCGCATTGAGTTGGGTAAAAAATGGTTAGGGAAAAATTCACCTAGCTCACTGATGTCCTTTAAGGAGAGAAATCTGCTGTCGTTCCCAGTCTGGCCTACATGTGAGTCCAGATCTACAGCAACGAGGTTGGCTCTTAACTGTCCTCTGGGCCATTAGGGATGGGCAGTAAATACTAACATAGTCCATATCCTGTGAATGAATGCATTAAAAAAAAATGGGAGCTGTGGGAGGAACTACTCGTGTGGTGCACCAGAAGAATTACCCCATTATTAGAAACCCACAGCACGTTGATGAGTCACTTATCATTTTGCAACACAGGTGGTGTTCACCTCGCTGCTGGTCCAAGGAAACCGAGCAAACGGGAATCTCCAGCACATCTGGTAAGGAAGACGTTACCGAACAACTCCAAGTGGTTTAGAGACCCCACCTTGAAGAGGGACAGCAGTGGGGGCAATCAGGAAGGTGAGCCGTGTAGCAGTTACTTGTTGCAGCTTACGTACAGCACCCCGGAGTGAGGTGTAATAATGTGAGCCAGGCACACAGGAACCTTCCTCTTGCAAATTTGTAGGGAATCTGCTGAAAAACCTTGTCCTGTTCCTGTCATTGAAAGCCCCATGAAAACATACTCACAGACTCATACAGCATGAAAACAGACCCTTCAACCCAATTCATCCATGCCGTCCAAGTTTCCCAAACGAATCTAGGTCCACTTGCCTGCATTTGGCCCATATCCCACTAAACCTTGGGGTGGTGGGGTGGCTCAGTGGTTAGCACTGCTGCTTCACAGCGCCAGGGATCCAGGTTTGATTCCATCATCAGGCTGTGTGGAGGTTGCACATTGAATTGAGTTAGCTTTATTGTCACATGTACTCACAAGAGTACAGTGAAAAGTTCTCCCGGTTTCCTCCAGGTGCTCTGGCTTCCTCCCACAGTCCAAAGATGTGCAGGTTAGGGTGGATTGGCCATGGGAAACGCAGAGTTACAGGGATAAGGGTAGGGGGGTGGGTTAATGAAGTGCTTAACGGTATCCATGAGTGAAAACAATGTTACTACATGCATCGTTTTGTCACTTGTGGAACAGTGACAGTATCCCTACCCCTGGACTGGGAGGTCCGGGTTCAAGTCTCACCTGCTCCAGAGGTGTGTCTTTTTGGAAGGCAATGGTTTAGTGGTATTTTCACTCGAGTTTTTTTTCTTATTCATAAATGGAATGAGGGTTTCGCTGACCAGGCAGCATTTATTACCCATTCCTAATTGCCCAGAGGGTAAGGATGGAAGTTTCCTTCCCTAAAGGACATTAGTGAACCAGATGGGTTTTTCCAACAATCAACAATGGGTTCATGGTCATCTTTGGATCCTTAATTCCAGATATCAGATATCTTACTGGATTCAAATTCCCCATCTGCCGTAGCGGGATTCCAACCCGGGTCCCCAGAACTTTACTTGGGTCTCTGGATTAACAGTCCAGTGATAATACTACTAGGCCATTGCCTCCCTTTAAGAGCGTTAATCCAGAAACTCAGCTAATGTTCTGGGAACCCGGGTTCAAATCCCGTCACAGCAAATGGTGGAATTTGAATTCAATAAAGAAAAATCTGGCATTAAGAGTCTAATGATGACCATGAATCTATTGTCAATTGTTGGAAAAACCCATCTGGTTCATTAATGTCCTTTAGGGAAGGAAACTGCCATCCTTACCTGGTCTGGCCTACATGTGACTCCAGACCCACAGCAATGTGGATGACTCTTAGCTGCCCTCTGGGCAATTAGGGATGGGCAATAAATGCTGTAATAGCCGGTGCCACCCATATCCCTTGAGTGACTAAAAAAAAGAACAGGTTAATTAGAAAGATAGGTTGATTAATTTTTTAAAAAAGTATTAGGGGCAGGCATCAAATTGGTCTCCTCAGTAATTAGCTTAATCATGATCTAGCTGCGTTGAGATTTGAGCTTTTAAGGTTGTGCTGCATCTTTATTGACAAGCGATTCAAAATAACAGGAAAGCTTCTGCAAAGCATAGAGACCTGATTCGGGGATGTAAGCAGGGGCCTTGATTGACGGATAGAGCGGCGTTGGTCATGTGCTGAAGCAAAATGTTGCGTCAAAAATTCTGCCAGTGGAGAGTTTATGCTCACAGATATGTCTCAGGCCCATGAAAACTTGGCTCTCACGAGAATATAGTGTCGACATTTCAACAACACAGCCTGACCGGATCACTTTTCACACAGTAAGTGTAGTGATTGGAACCAGGCGCCTGCTGTGAAGGAGTCTCAGTTTCTTAACTTCCCCTGCATGGGGTCCATCGCACTCCCCATTTCTCACGATGTGAGGCAGTGTCCCTGCTCCTTGCAATACCCTCTGCACGTGTTTCCAGCTGTGCTGGTCCCTCCTGCTGTGAGGCGATCCCTCTGCTTGTGGCCTTCTCTGAGAAAGTCCTGTCTCTTACTGTTTGCTGAGTGGGTTGGAAGAGACGGAACTTAAACCTGCTGGGTGATTCATTTTCAACATTTACCTTTACAACAATTAAAAATGTGGCAGTAACTTTATGAGCCATTTCCTGTCTTAGTTTAGGAGAATCTAATGGAAATAGTTTGATGTTGTAATGAACCCTCCCAAACATTCTGTAATTTTAAAGAGCTAATATTTTAATTCCCTGTGTCAGCCTGACTGAATCTAACAGCCTTTTCTGGAAAAAAAATTGTGGGATGCAGGCGTTGCTGGATAATAGCCAGCATTTGTAGCCCAGTCCTAATTGTCCCTTGAACTGAGTGGCTTGCTCGGACATTTCAGAGGCATGTTAAGAGCCTGGACTCACGGGTAGGCCAGACTGGGTAAGGATGGAATATTTTCTTTCCCTGAAGAGCATTACAGCCTGGTGGGTTTGTACATCAATCACTGATGCCGTCACTGAGACGAGTTTCCCAAGCTCAAATTTTATTCGTTGAAAATTTAAATTCCACCACCTACCTTGGGTGGGAGTTGAACCCATGTCTCTGGAGCGTTAGCCTGGGCTGAAAGATTACCATTCCAGTCACATTAACGTGAGGCCAGCATATTCCCTTTGCGGGCTCTTAAGATTACTTTCACTTAAAGACATCAGATAGATCTTTATGTCAATCGATGATGGTTGTCATGGTCACCATTGTTGAGACCAGCTCTAGATATTCCAGATTTTATTTGCTGAATTTAAATACCACCAGTGATGGAACCCAGGGGATTAATCTGGGCCTCAGGACTACGAGTACAATGGTTTCACCATAATGCCACTCTATCATTTATAAACTCTGTTATCCATGAAACTGATGGTGCCTTGTGGTGGACTAGTTCTCCAAACAGAGGAGACAGAAAACAGTTTGAAATAACTGCTTAGAGGCCAGTGTCCTGTCACCAAGTCACCCTTTATTTTATGTGCACTGTACATGGGCTGTGACGAGCCAGCTCAAAGCCAGTCCCTAGACTGCAGAGACCATCTGAATCTCCAGTTTATATTGGTCAGACCGGGATCCCTGATTGGCCCAGGTTAACAACATCAATCAAGGATCTCGTAGTCACTGAGATCTACCTGGTCCTGGTTCCAATCACTACATAGCTGAATATTTTTACACAATTATTGCGAGTCAAGTTGCCAGTTTGAATGGTGTCCCTTTTAGCCTAGTGAATGTTGATGGAGGAATTTCTTCACCCAGAGGGTGGTGAATCTGTGGAATTCATTGCCACAGAGGGCTGTGGTGGCAAAGTCATTGAGTCTATTTTAGACATAGATAGGTTCTTGATTAGTGAGGGGGATCAAGGGTTACGGGGAGAAGGCAGGAGAATGGGGTTGAGAAACATATCAGCCATAATCGAATGATGAGTCAATGGGCTGAATGGCCTAATTCTGCTCCTGTATGTTACGGTCTTAAGAAAGTGAAGCTGTTTACAACGTGACCAATATATTGATCAGTGAGGTGATCTGGTGGAGTAGATAGCCTGCTCATTGTGGAACCCACCCCTGATTTTTGTTCAGTGAGAATGCTGAAATGAAACAAAAGCGGGAAATCTGGAATACAAGTAGAACGTCCTGGAGAAACTCAGCAGGTCCAGCATCATTCATGGAGAGAGAAACAAAGTTAATGTTCAAAGTCCCTGTGTTCTCAGTCATAGAATTGTGTAGTATAGAGGAAGGCCCCTGTGCTGACCTATCTACACTAGTCCCACTTCCTTGCTGTAGGCCCATAACCTTGAATGTTATGACGCTTCAAATGCTCATCCAAGTACTTTTTAAAAGTTGTACCTCTATGCTTTGACGCAGAGTTAGCATTGGAACAATGGACTAAATGGCCTCCTAGGCTTAAATATCACTTACTTGTCAATAGAGCCAAGATGACCATTCCTTAAGGACTGCATATCTGTGCTTGCTCTCCAAAGTAGTGATTCACCAAGTGGCACTCCCTGGTCTTCTCCCTGTAACCTTGTCCATTCTTCCCTTTCTGAAGATAATCCACTTGCATCTTGAAAGCCTCGATTAAAACTGCCCCCGCCAAATTCTCAGGCATTCCAGATCCTAGCAACTCGCTATGTTGAAAAGTTTATCCTCATGTCGTCTCATCACAAAAGGGAAGGCAACGGCCTAGTGGTATTATTGCTGGACTATTTACCCAGACACCCAGCTAATGTTCTGGGGACTCAGGTTCGAAATCTGCCACAGCAGATGGTAGAATTTGAATTCAAAAAAGATCTGGAATTAAGAGTGTGAAGATGATGATGAAACCCATCTGATTCACTAATGTCCGTTAGGGAAGGAAAATGCCATCCTTACCTGGTTGGCCTACATGTGACTTCAGACCCAAATGTGGTTGACTCTTAACTGCCCTCTGAGGATGAGCGATAAATACTAGCATGGCCCCCTCATTCCATGAAAGAATAAAATAAAATTCATCACTTCTTTTGACAATAGCTGTCCGATATTGCTGTAAAAGGCAGAGTTGAAGTATTTGTAACATAAAACAGTTTATTTTAGAAAGCGATTGACTAGAATGTTCTTTTTGCTCCTCTGCTTATTTTTGATTAACATTTCTGGAGTGTTTTGGGTTAGCCTGAGTGCTGATGATGTAATAGGTGGAAACGGCTGGGAGCAATTATTGAATATGAGAATGTGCGAAGGAGACTGAGTGTCATCAGTCAGAGAGTGAAAATTGGGTGTGAACAAAGGCAATTCTGTCTTCCTGCTGTAATAAACACCCATTAATCTCGAGATTTGAAGTCACCCAAGAAATTGAGAGACTTTAGATGTAAAAGCTGTGAGTTTGTCTCCTGCACTGCCTGTCACTTTCAACATGCTTTCCAGTACAGGGAGGTTCATCTGCTTCAGGTAAGGCTGTGTTGAAAGTGAACGAGTTGAGGAGCAGGGTAACAGTCACTGCCTTCCTCCTATCTTCATTCACCGACCCTTGTAATGCAGTGTGTTAACTAACTTCATTGCT